AATGTTTTTTTGGAAACATCGTGTTTACTTAAATCGTAAATGTGACTCATGTATGCACGAGTTTTGTATGATAGTAAATTCGTCGGTATACCGATGGATCAAAAGATGAGGAAAAGGCTGCTGAAGCCTTCGTAAGTGGAAAACACACAACCAAAGTTCGCTTGCCAAATGGTACGTCAATTTTTTCAGCCGAAATTAGAGCAATAGACCTTGCTTTGCAATACATTGCAAGCAAGCGTATTTCAAATAGCATATTATCCGACTCACTATCAGTACTTCAGTCACTACATAACAGAAAACTGGAGAATCCATTATTAGCAAACATTCTCCTTAAGCATACTGAGCTGAGTACATCCCACAATATAGTATACTGTTGGTTACCCAGCCATGTAGGATTTAAAGGTAATGATAAAGCAGACCGTGCTGCTAAAATGGCCCTATTACTAGAACCAACTGATTTTAAAGCACCATATACTGATTTTAAACGTTGTATCAAAGACTGTTTACGTCAGAAATGACAGGCATCATGGAATGATGCCGTGAATAACAAACTTCATGCCATCAAGCCAACCTTAGGATAATGGACCGCTTCCTACAGATCCGTCCGTAGAGAGGAGGTAGTCATTGCAAGATTTCGACTCGGTCATACTCATTTAACCCACTCCTACATACTAAAAGGAGAAGACCCACCAGAGTGCATAGCTTGTAATGAACCATTCACCGTTAAGCACTTTATGCTGGAATGCTTCGATCTTCAACCTACGCGTAATCATTACTACGTTGTTCAAGACATGAGGGAGCTCTTTGATACAGTTAGCATTACCAACATTATAGACTTTCTTAAGGAAGCAAACATTTATCATAAGTTATAGCTTTTATTTTATCACCTTGTTCAAATTTGTGTTATATATGTGCAGTCGATAGATTTTAATTACCAATCAGATGTTTTCGTTATCATACATTTGCACTCCCCGTTGATCGGGAAACTTTTAATTATTTACCACCGTTACCATTTTTATCGTTTTACCTTTAACTGTTTGGTCTCCAATCGCTGGTCGATAAATTTTTTTTACCACTTTTAAATAAAGAAGGATATAACCTTATGTTTTTGGCGCAAAATAGCCTCATAGTGCTGGTGCGCCGTAAAAAATATCAATCAATCAATCAGTCAGTAAATTCGTCGCAAGTAAACATTCAGAGCAGCTATATAAATGACTGGCTTATACTTGGTCAGTCTTTCCTAATGTCCAGATGCATTGCGAAATTACACGTGTCCTCCGTGCATGTGAACATAAAACGACGTATTAGCTTGATTTATATGCTTAGTTATCTGTAAGAAAGTTAGAGTCGTAGCCGATTTCAACAACTTAGAGAGTCACATAACTTCTATTACCTTAAAAAGGTAGTTTTTTTGTTACTAGAAGAAGTTGTCTGTTCGTGTGTCTACGTAGAACGACATGAGTTTTGTTAGAGCAGATAATTGTATTTCGTCTACTTTCTAAATAATTGTTTTCCCCGGAGAATAACACTACTGGTATGGACAAAGACATTTGTCGAAACTCTTCTAAATTAGAACAGAACAATATAAATTGTGCTTCACAATGAAAATTCTGGGATTTTTGTGTTAACTTTCGTCTGACGTCGTCATCCACCATCTTGGACCGGAACTGAACTTCAGACTGTCAATTTAGAACTGTTCACAGGACTTGTGTTTTCATATCTTTAGAACAAACTTTTGGATCTATTATCGTAAATCGTAAGTCTTGTTTCATATGTTCACATTTTCTCCATGTTTTCTAGGGAAATAAATTAGTTTTGTTAAAATTTACAAAGCTTATTGTAGTCACCCTTTCTTTGTTACTTTGAACGAGGCGATATGTAACACTCAATCAAGTCAGGCGGGTTACACGCAATTTTTATTCTGTAGTCAACACTTTATTATAATTGCTTCAGGATGATATGATCTTTCATTTGCTGATATGTCATTAAACACCAATCAAATTGATTGTGTTGATTTTCTGACATTTCACAGCTTTTAGAGATTATTTTTCTAAAATGATATCCTATTCAATAAAATACTCGCGTCAGCTGCCAATTACAATAGTTGCAAAAATGGCCCATCGTTCAAACGGGACACCCTTTTAAACACGTGTTTAATGTTATCTTTTGAACGAATTTGTTTTCTTCAAGTAATGCTTGTCTCGTATTTACGGTTAGTCATCCAGAATATCAACCACACAAAGATGAGAATGAATAAGCTATATAACGGGTTACGTTTGAATGTAGTATTATTTCCTAAGTGTTGAATGAGCTGCCTAACGACGGGGCATGTTTTGATAAACAATCCCTTGTTGCTTAAAAGGTTAAGATTAGTTACACAATAAACTGCTTTACATTATGTGGGAATGTTATAATCAGGACTCGGTTACAAGAAAAAAACATCCAACTTTTGTTCTAATTGTTAAAAATAAAAAATGCGAGATAAATACCAAGATACGACTTCCCAACAGCTGTTTCGCATTCGACCGCTTCCCATAATTGGTCGAATGCAATATTACCACTCGGTCGAATACGGAACAACCCGAAAGAGATGCAGTACGTACATCAATAAAATACATATAGCTGCTACCATTTCTGTAGAATGAAAGAAATCCAAAATGGTGTTTACCACGAGTTTATGCCTTTCATATTCAGAAATAAAATTATCGGATATTTATAGGTTAAAAAGAAAAGAAAAACTGCATATTAAAGTGTTTTGCAAGCTTTTCTTTATTTTCTACTCAGAAGTGGAAGAATGGACGAGCTTAAGTTTGCATTGTCATCCACGCTCCATGCATTACCTTCACCTATGACAATATTTGAAAGAATGTATAACGAAGTGATAAATCGTAGCAATCAAAGAACTGTAATTACGTGACACTAGATGTGATAGCAAAATTGATAAACATTCTTCCTGAGGATCTTTAATATGGTTGTCAAAGGTTGAGTTGGCTTCATACTTAGGTCACTGACCTATCTTCATTAACAGAACAAATGTTTAAGAACACCACGATGTCAATGTGACCATCTGTTAGAGAGGAATACCAGCAACAAAGTTGTCAAGATGGTCGCCATGACCGATGGAAATGGAAAAGGTACCAACTTATGCTGAAACAATTAAATGAAGACGTGCCGATACTGCCATTCGTGCATAAAAAAAACAAACAGCAAAACATTATTTTTTATAGATGGTTACTAAGGCAGCAATTTTAGAAGCGCGCCATTTTCATCTAGCATTATCTACATATCTTAAGAAGTCGCTAAGGAATAAAGTTGTGTAAATGTGATCATCCATTCAGGACGAGAAGCCGTATGATGACTGCCTTCGCGATAATGTTGAAAGTCTGATAAACACCATTTCCAGTGTAATATGGATTAGACTGTTTCATCAGCTGGTCTGCACGGTCTGACACCAGTGACAACACATGCAATTGTGCTATTGCACTTCTAAATTTGGAAATATCGTCAGTATAGATTTAGTCTGAAATAAAGCTATAATAACATAATAAGTGTATTAGAATTCCAGTCTTTTTCTCCCTGTTTGAATTAGATGTCATTCTTAGTTTAAACGTACATGAATATTTACTAGATATAACAAAATGTACAAAAGATTGTAAGTGATTAGAGCTCTTCCCACAAAAAGAAACATAACAACAAAATTTACTTACAATGTTCTTATTTGACGATATAAAACTTGTTAATATATTTGACTATATGGCAGGCGACATACGAGTTTTAATGACAAAACAAATAAATTATTGAAGAGTATCTTTGTCAAACACTCATTTAGCCAAGGTATATTCAGCACGAAGATAAACAAAGAAAATAGATAAAAGACGAGGGTAAAGAAAAGATGTTAAAAGAAACTGTTAAATAAAATGTGTAGAATATCGTGTAGAAAATTAAGAACACTGGAAGGAAAAAAAAAGGGAAGAAAAAGTGAGATTAAAAAGTAAAGAATTATTTCCATGTACGACGATTCATAACACAAGCGACGGCGAATCATTTTGAAAAAAAAGGGGGAAATTTCTGTTGCCAGCTGTATATGACCCATTGAAGAGCGTTCTTGCTAGTAATGTGTGTTCTTAAGCAAATCGTGTCGACTTTACAAACTAGATACAACTTGCAAAATGTAAACAATTTCCAATCAGTATGAGCTAAAACAGGCTTTAATTTACTTTTCAACCTTCACTCTATTTTCTCCCTATTTTCTAAACTTTCTACACAATGTAGATGCAAAGTCTTATCAATTTCAGGAAATGTCAATATTAAATTCACTAAACATAATGTTAAAATTGTTAACGTACAAAATTTCGTCATCTAGTAGATAATATTGGTCAAAAAAGTTGTTTATTGCCCTCAGTAAAACTGTTTAAATATTTGATGAATCTTATAGCAATTTCCAAAAATGTTTGAATCTCAGTTTCAAATGTACCATAGTTTTGGATCAGTTTGTCTTAATCAGAACTGGGTTTTGTTAATCCCATTTATAGATTGAATTGGCAATTGTCATAGCTATCCACAATTCAATCAACTTTGTTTTCCATAAACATTTAATTTCGGTTTAGAAAACATCATTTTCCTCACATCTTTGATACATGCGTGGAAAACTTTGAATCAGCAAATATAGTGTTGGACGTAAGGAATCGTGGAAATAGTCCCACAATTTAAGATTACCCATAAAAGCAATTTCGATTGAGATGTGTTAGAATGTTTGTGACTTGGAACTGTAAACGTAGCTTACATTTCTTTTTTAGTCATATGGCTACGATGTCTGCTGTGTGGCAGTTTATAATGGTCTAGCACTGGCGCATCATGCCGTAGACGTGTCGTCTCTTTCAGTTGTATGTCCCTTTCAGTCACATTATCCTTACACATGGCCGAACAGTCCTAACAATAACCTCTTAATGGTGAGCGCCAAGCGATGCAGCTGATAGTACCATATGTATAAGTTTTTGGTATGACTCGGCTGGGATTCGAACCCACGAATTACCGCATCCGAGACGGATGCTCTAACCACCATGCAACCGAAGCGGTTGAGCTTGGATTAAAATGCTTTTCAAATATGAGCCGAAACAACCAGAGGACCACCACCACCAAAAAAAACCCCCCAAAAACTAAAATAAACCAACAACAAAATAAGACGTTAGACATTTCATAATGGCAGTCATATTCTATTATCTAAATCATGCAGACTGGCCTAAGTGGGTATCGATTTCGCAATTTCACGATTTCACCTTGGATTACGATAATTCAGTGTATAACTAGCCCAGTTACTTCTATTCTATTAGAGAATAATTCTGAACCAGAAACAAAGTTTGACAATAGATATTAATATAAAAAATATTGCAAACACAAGAGTTCTTTGAAACGACAGACTCTACTGCCATGAAAGAACGTTCAAGAATCCAAGAACGATTTTTTAAAATTCTTTTTAACTGTTAAATATCGAGACCATTTCTGAAATTCTTGAGAAACCCAAACCGATTCCCAACCCAGGTTGGCCGCCTCAGAGTGTCCTTGTGAAAGACGCTTTGCGTCTATCCCTCCAACAGGATGCTAAGAAAGTCAGCAAAAACATAAACAAACAATCAAATTGATTTTTAAAAAAAAATATTACACTCAGTGACTATGTTCATATTATACATATAAGTACATTAAATAATTCTTTATCGTGGCCTTTAGCAAATAATGAATTAAAAGTGCTGTTAAAACCAACAAAAAGGCCTTTAGCAAATAATGAATTAAAAGCGCTGTTAAAAACCAACAAAAAGCTGAACCAGTTTTAGACAAAGCCAATATATACATACATGCTATGTTTGGTTAATTCTATCCACATGATAATTTTGGTTAAATCTATAATATATTTTTTCGGGGAAAATATTTATAATCAATGACCAAATGCTGCTAGCTTGCAAACTGGAATGCAAGTAAATACAAAGTTAGATACAAATCACCTTGTGTATATGTCGCGGTTATTGAAAAAGGGAAAATTAATTTTGAAAGACTAGACATTACCAGCTTCTGAGAGTGCAGTGAATGAATTACCAAAGATATAAAATGTAAAAAGAAAAGTTATTGGCTTTAAAAAAAATTACCTCTAAATTCAGAAAGTGAAAACGACCAAGTGGAGCTAGCAGTTAATTTTTAAAGGTGCTCATCTGGAAAAAGGCCAATCTGTATACTCTTTAACCCTTATTACACCCAACAATCATATACCAAAAAAAAGGGAATTAAAGGTTTTTGTTTTTTTAACAATACCTGAGAAATACAAGGTATTTTTTTTATAATAGCAAGTACAACCAGTGAGTAAACCTGGGAAATTATTTTTCTTTAAAATTCTAACCATATGAAAATTACGAAACTGTAGAACGCCACCTTAAAACAAATAGAAAAAAATTATGCAATAATTTTTTTCAATTTTTTTTATACCATTATGGATGTTCTGAATAAAACAGTACATTAACATTGATGTTATGAATAAAGTTAAGCTAATTATCCTTATTTTGCTTTTGCTTACATAATGCGCTATGAGGCATGTATGTGTTAAGACCTTTTTTATAATGAAATAAGTCTTAGAAAATAGGAAAAAAAGTCAACTTAAATTTAAAACTGTTTCATTAAGTAAAAGAAACATATACTGAAAGTGTTTCATTTCATTTATTTGCAATATTAAAATATGAATGCTGACAAAGCAAATTCGATCTCTTCCATATTACACATTAAGCAAATATTTTACCCTTTGACCTGTATGAACCTGGTCTGTTCCACCCCTTTTCAAACTGTAACCTAGTGGTTAGAGCGTCCGCCTCGGATGCGGGAATTCGCAGGTTTGAACCCCGGCCAGGTCATACCAAAGACTTTAAAAAATGGTACTTACAGCTGCCTCGCTTGGCGCTCAGCATTAAGAGGTTAATGTTAGGACTGGTCGACCTGGTGTCAGGATAATGTGGCTGGGTGGAACAACATGCCACATGTCTGTAGCATGATGCCCCAGTACTAGACATCACTAGAAACTGTCATACTGCAGACATCGTAGCAGTATGACTGAAAAATTGTTAAAGTTACGTTAATAATCTAAATCACACTCAAACACACACACACACACAAACTAAAATGTATTGTTGACGTCTCAGGAATAATTCTGGCAAGTTTTAGGTTCCTGTATTCCTGCATAAAAAGTGTTGCCATGTTGACAAAATGTAATGTGCATTTTGAAAATTTCTCACTTTTCATCATGGGGGTGGGGTCTGGCCTTGTGCTAGACTTAGATACTAAAAAATACTTTTCTGTGAGGGTAAAATACAGGGGAATGATTCAAAAGGACTGTTTTGATGCCAACGACTTAAATGTTTCAGCTATAGAATCAAAATTAAATCATTCAATAATAATACCAATGTGCTCACCAGTTATTATCAAATTTTGAGAGAGTGACATATGTAAGGTGAAGTTGTTTGCATTGGAAACATGCAGAGCGCCAAGAATGTTGTTATACCTCTATACTACTTTGATGTAATGTGGCTGACATTTCTTTGGATACTGTACTTATGGGAATTATACGTGATCTAAGCACACTGCTAACTAAAATGACTTCTCCCTTGTGCTCCAAATCAACCAGGATTTGTCTAAAGTACATTGTCCTTAGCAGCTATCAAAATAGGGGAAATTAATTTTGCCAGACTAAACAATACCAGCTTCTGAATGCGCAATGAATGAATTACTAAATATATAAAATGTAAAAAATAAGTTATCAGCTCTTTTATTTGTGCAATTTACCTCTGAAGTTCAGAAAGTGAAAATGACACAGGAAATTATTTTTCTTTAAAACCCTAACCCTATGCAAAATACGAAATTTTAGAGCGCAACCAAAGAAAAAAAATCTAAAAACCAAGTGGTGAGTATCCTGGTTATAGTGTACAATATAAGCCATGCACATGCCAATGTGCTCATGAGCTTCATGGAGTACACAAATGCAAGTGATGACCTTTAACTTGACAAGGTCAGTTAGACCTGGTTTTCAAAACTCTCACAATAAAATGAAAATGTTGGTCGTCTGTTTTTACTGCACCTTTTAATTCAGAATCAATGAAATATTGCTTCATTTTAGTCAAAAACTCGTGTTAATACAATCACATGTTCAAGAGAATGCATCATATAAATATTTCTAAGATGGCCATCAAGGTAGCGAATTTGTAGGTTTGGACAGCATCATTTATTATATAGCGCAAGAAAGCAATTTGCTTTGTAACGTCACTATGGCAATATGTTTCAGATCAGTTCTTAAGATTTTCTTCTAGTTTGTGATTTTACTTTGGCATCATTTTTATAGTGGACCATCTACATATAGTGAGAAGCGTTTTAAGGAAAACCACATACTGATCTTTTCCAGAGGTGTGTTGACAAAAGATATTAAAGATGATCTCCATTGGTCAACACAAATTTTATATCTTAAGATGTCTTTTAGTCAGAACATTAATTTTATATGACCATCTGTTCCAAATAAATGTCTAGATTTCCAAGACAGCTTACCATGGTGGCCAAATTAGTGGCCTGATTGGCAGTGTTTTCATTTCAAGCCAAATACATATCACACAAGGTCTTTTAGTGAAAACCCATGCTGCTAAGACTATCTGTTTAGAGAAGTAGCAATACCAATACATTTTTCAAGATGAGCTCACTGGCCATGAAACTAGGTCTGATTAGCACTATTTTCATGTAGGACAAACCAGACATTACAAGAAGTCTTTCACTGAAACCTGTGGTAAGACAACTCTCCACTCTGAGGTGGCAATAAAAAATATTCAAGCGGAGCTGGCCAATGTAGTGGACATATTGGATGCCAGGAGTTTGCCATTTTAAGTTCTCAACCAAACAGAAATTTAAACAATTATTTTTGTGAAAACTTCATGTCAGTCAGACTTTCTACATTAAGTGGGTATCAATCACGAGATTGTTAGGATCACAAATATGGTGGCTATATTGGCCACTCAAGCATCTCCAATTACAGCCAACTAAACCTTTCGATGAATGTGTTTGCAATGCTTACAGTTAAGGGTGAGTAACGATAACAAATAAGTAATTATGGATGGTCCTCCAAACAGTTAAGGGTGAGTAACAATAACAAATTTGTAATCGTGGATGGTCCTCCAAACAGTTAAGGGTAAGTAACGATAACAAATCTGTAATCATGGATGGTCCTCCAAACAGTTAAGGGTAAGTAATGATAACAAATCTGTAATCTTGGATGGTCCTCCAAACAGTTAAGGGTGAGTAACAATAACAAATCTGTAATTATGGATGGTCCTCCAAACAGTTAAGGGTAAGTAACGATAACAAATCTGTAATCATGGATGGTCCTCCAAACAGTTAAGGGTAAGTAATGATAACAAATCTGTAATCTTGGATGGTCCTCCAAACAGTTAAGGGTGAGTAACAATAACAAATCTAATTATGGATGGTCCTCCAAACAGTTAAGGGTAAGTAACGATAACAAATCTGTAATCATGGATGGTCCTCCAAACAGTTATGGGTAAGTAACGATAACAAATCTGTAATCATGGATGGTCCTCCAAACAGTTAAGGGTAAGTAACGATAACAAATCTGTAATCATGGGTGGTCTTCCAAACAGTTAAGGGTAAGTAACGATAACAAATCTGTAATTATGGATGGTCCTCCAAACAGTTAAGGGTAAGTAACGATAACAAATCTGTAATCATGGATGGTCCTCCAAACAGTTAAGGGTAAGTAACGATAACAAATCTGTAATCATGGATAATCCTCCAAACAGTTACGGGTGAGTAACAATAACAAATCTGTAATTATGGATGGTCCTCCAAACAGTTAAGGGCGAGTAACGATAACAAATCTGTAATCATGGATGGTCCTCCAAACAGTTAAGGGTAAGTAACGATAACAAATCTGTAATCATGGATGGTCCTCCAAACAGTTAAGGGTAAGTAACGATAACAAATCTGTAATCATGGATGGTCCTCCAATCAGTTAAGGGTGAGTAACAATAACAAATCTGTAATCA